GCGGTGGGCGAAGGCGGCGGCTGGCGCCGGAGCAGTGGCGAGGGGCGGCGGCTGGTGCAGGAGGCGGCGCGAGCGGGCGCGGGTGGTGGGGCGAGGCGGCCTCGCCTCGGGCGAGTGGCAGCGGCGACCGGGCCGGGCGGGTCCGCGATGGGCTCGGCGGGCCAGAGGAGATAGAGAGCCGGCAAGGACACGTGGCCCTCTCACTGGCGCGGGGCGGCGGCGCGGGATGTCCGGCGAGCAGCGGACTTGTCCGGCGGCGGAAGGGGCGAATTTTTAGGGTTAGGGGAGGAAGAGATCCGAGATTTGGAATGGGAGGGCCTATTTATACATAGAATGAGCTAGGAGGCTCCAAATTGAGCACGATTTTTGGCCACGCGATCGTGATCGAACGACCGAGACGATGGAGGGGGTTTAGGTGGGTTTTGGGCCACTTTGGAGAGGAGTTGGGCTGCAACACACACGAGGCCTTTACGGTTCCTCGGTTAACCGTTGGAGTATCAAACGAAGTCCAAATGGCATGAAACTTGACAGGCGGTCTACCGGTAGTATACCAAGGCCGCATGACAAGTCTCATTCCAATCCGAGAACGTTTAACACCCGCACACGAAAAGAGATAAAAGGGGACACCGGCGGACATAGGAGCGCCGGAATGCAAAATGGACAACGGGGAAAATGCTCGGATGCATGAGACGAACACGTATGCAAATGCGATGCACATGATGACATGATATGAGATGCATGACAAAGACAAAAGCAACACGAAGACAAAAACCCAACAACAAGGAAATATCATAACTTAGTGCCAAAAATGGCAAGAGTTGGAATACAATTATGGCAGGTTACATACGGGGCGTTACATTGTACTATGAGTCATCAACATGACAGTGTGCGGCAAGTGCTTCCGACAATAAGGGGTTCTTCCCAGTACCATCTACGTCTTGATGTGGTGTCCTCCGGAGTTGTCAGGAACTCAGGTGGAGCTTTTCCCTGTCAACTATGCTTGCAGTATATGCAGAATCAGAGAACCACATGTACTTGGGTCAGAAAGTGCATGGCAATAGATGAACAAATTGTAGCCCATCATGGATAAAAGCTCCTCCCAAAGCTGGCAATAGATGAGAAAATTGTAGTGAAAAGTTTGTTGCAGCCTGGCCATGATCTCAAGTGGTGCAACTCGAAGGAACAAAACGTGCATATTTCTCAGAACAAGGCTTCGGGCATGGCACAAGTGTGGTCACCGATTGAGAAATCGTCATCACCGTGCAGAACAACATCAGGAGTTTCCTCGAAGTGGCGCTATGGCTAATTTTGCTGGGCAGGGAGCTGGGCTATCGCCCTTCGGTGCTGCCACAAACTGGCCACCGTGTTGGCGCTACGGAGATCTGCACCTTCGAGTACCGTGGTGCCGTACCCCGGTGAGTAGTTGGCTGCCGAGCTCGGGCTACGGATGCGGAGTGGGGGAGCCACAGAGAAGCCCGGGAGCCACTACGGCAGCCATGAAAGCGAGATGGGCCTGGCCATGCACAGCGGTCGTTAGCCGAGGCTTCGTGTTTCTCCGCTGATCCCTGACAACCTGCCGCCTGGGGTGTGATAGCCTTGCAATTTGAGGAGGGGATGAGAGGACGCAACGGTGATATTGTCTGAGTGAAGGAGAGTACATGCGACCTTGACGTCACCTGCATCTAGGCAACAAGCCTCCTCCCGAACAAAGCACCTACAGGTTTGGCTACATGCCGTTCTCTCAGTTTGGTTGGTAGTTTCTTGCTTCAGTTTGCATTCTTGCTTAGATTAGACATAGCCGTGTAGATGCAGATGGACATTGCAGGTATAGTGTGGCACTGACAACTAGGACAAAAATATTCCTGTATACACTCCGAGTGGGTCAGTCTATATACACTTCAATTTCCACATTCAGTTTCCTTCAGTCACACGACAACAAGGAGATAATACACTAATTTGTTTCTGAAAAAAAATCATAAGGGACATCTTTTGGAAGAATGACGAGGCATGTTGGTCGTAGTTGGAGCGAAAGAATTACAATTTTTCTTGTGCCAAATAATCAAATATAGCACAGGTTCAAGAAAAAAAAGACAAGAACCATGAGAAATGTTGTTCCTAGATGTTATTGCGCATCATCTATCCTCTTGGCCATGCCCGTCATAACAACAACAACTTTCATCAGGCTGGTGATGCGCATATTGTCAATCATTCTAACTGTGGTGCCTGAGACAAAAACTCCTAAGGCAGTCTGGTAATTTATGATGTTATTACACCGGAGCACATGTAACGACAATCAAGTTTTAAATTTCTAATTTCCATGGTCTTGACAATTTTGAGCCTGCTGCTCTAATCATCATAACCGAAGAGACGGGCTTAGACCATGTATATACCCAGTACCTCCACGAGACCGATTAAATGGCAAAGCAGAACAAGATAGTGTGCTTATGAGAGTGGAAAGATAACCACAAAGAAAGAACCATGATTCTTGACGGTAGCATGAGGAGTCAGAATTGGACTCTGGTGTGTCCGAAACAAACTCCTCGCTTTTATTCCCGTTGCAATGCACGGGCATTTGTGCTACTAACTAGAAAAAGAAAATATGATGCTGCTTTGTTTATTTGTACGATAGTCTCCAAATAGTGTCAAGTATATGTATATCTCCTAAGTTCTACAGCTTTTCAAACTGCATGGATAACTATTTGGTAAAATAACTATAATGACAAAGCACACTATTAATACCTGTGTAAAGTATTAATATCACAAGTCCTATAGAGTGCAAAGTACAAGTATGCTAATATTGAGAGCAAGGATACCATGTCAAAGAGTTGGCAGAGACAAGGATGGTGGGAAACCGGCAAACAAATCAGCATCGAAGTTGTTGTACTTTGATGCAAGGAACCACTCCAGCTGTAAAGTCTTCAGATTCAGCGAAAAAACGTTCGGGTCTTCCTTTTCGGCCAAAGAGGATGAATGCCGGTCTCCTGGAAGCCCTTGTAGGAGTAAGTATCCCCCGGCTATGCCCAAGAGCAAATAGCGATTATTTTCGGGTAAATTGAACATTGCCTCTGACAGCCACTGACTTGCATGAAGGAAATATGCCCTAGAGGCAATAATAAAGTTATTATTTATTTCCTTATATCATGATAAATGTTTATTATTCATGCTAGAATTGTATTAACCGGAAACATAATACATGTGTGAATACATAGACAAACAGAGTGTCACTAGTATGCCTCTACTTGACTAGCTCGTTGATCAAAGATGGTTATGTTTCCTAACCATAGACATGAGTTTTCATTTGATTAACGGGATCACATCATTAGGAGAATGATGTGATTGACTTGACCCATTCCGTTAGCATAGCACTTGATCGTTTAGTTTGTTGCTATTGCTTTCTTCATGACTTATACATGTTCCTATGACTATGAGATTATGCAACTCCCGTTTACCGGAGGAACACTTTGTGTGCCACCAAACGTCACAACATAACTGGGTGATTATAAAAGTGCTCTACAGGTGTCTCCGAAGGTACTTGTTGGGTTGGCGTATTTCGAGATTAGGATTTGTCACTCCGATTGTCGGAGAGGTATCTCTGGGCCCTCTCGGTAATGCACATCACATAAGCCTTGCAAGCACTGCAACTAATAAGTTAGTTGCGGGATGATGTATTACGGAACGAGTAAAGAGACTTGCCGGTAATGAGATTGAACTAGGTATTGAGATACCGACGATCAAACCTCGGGCAAGTAACATACCGATGACAAAGGTAACAACGTATGTTGTTATGCGGTCTGACCAATAAAAGATCTTCGTAGAATATGTGGGAGCCAATATGAGCATCCAGGTTCCGCTATTGGTTATTGACCGGAGACGTGTCTCGGTCATGTCTACATAGTTCTCGAACCCGTAGGGTCTGCACGCTTAAAGTTTGATGACGGTTATATTATGAGTTTATGTGTTTTGATGTACCGAAGGAGTTCGGAGTCCCGGATGAGATCGGGGACATGACGAGGAGTCTCAAAATGGTCGAGACGTAAAGATCGATATATTGGACGACTATATTCGGACATTGAAAAGGTTCCGAGTGATTCGGGTATTTTCAGGAGTACCGGGGAGTTACGGGAATTCGTATTGGGCCTTAATGTGCCATACGGGAAAGGAGAGAAAGGCCTCAAAGGGTGGCTGCACCCCTCCCCATGGGCTGGTCCGAATTGGACTAGGGAGGGGGGCGCCCCCTTCGTTCCTTCTCCTTTTCCCTTCCCTTTCCTTCCCTCCAACTCCTACTACATGGAAGGGCTCCTAGTTCTACTAGGAAAAGATGAATCCTACTCCCGGTGGGAGTAGGACTCCCCTAGGGCGCGCCATAGAGAGGGTCGGCTCTCCCCCTCCTCCACTCCTTTATATACGGGGGCAGGGGGCACCCCAAAGACACAACAATTGATCTCTTGATCTCTTAGCCGTGTGCGGTGCTCCCCTCCACCATAATCCACCTCGATCATATCGTAGCGGTGCTTAGGCGAAGCCCTGCGTCGGTAGAACATCATAATCGTCACCACGCCGTCGTGCTAACGAAACTCTCCCTCAACACTCGGCTGGATCGGAGTTCGAGGGACGTCATCGAGCTGAACGTGTGTTGAAATCGGAGGTGCCGTGCGTTCGGTACTTGGATCGGTCGGATCGTGAAGACGTACGACTACATCAACCGTGTTGTGCTAACGCTTCCGCTTTCGGTCTACGAGGGTACGTAGACAACACTATCCCCTCTCGTTGCTATGCATCACCATGATCTTGCGTGTGCGTAGGAATTTTTTTGAAATTAGTACGTTCCACAACATTGCACCATCTCCATCATTTTGCAACAGATTATAACTGACTTCATTTGTCATATCCTGATTAATAAACATCCCAATCCTTCCTTTCCCTGCCTCCAGAATGGCAACTTGTGTATTGTTGGTGCCAGGTGGGAGGTTGACAGCAGAGAAATCCATGCCGCGTGTGTCAAGCATGAGCAACTTGCTCCCCGGATAAAATGCCTAACAGAAGTATCCGTATGCATAGTGGCGCATCCGCGGCCACCATTACGACTCGGATCGTTGTCTGGAGCTGGGTTGGCCGATCCGGTGAGCAAATTGATCCAATTGTCAAATGTAATAGCATGCCACTGTCTAGCACCTGATCCTGAAGAGAAGATGATGAGGACAAGCTTGGTTGTGCACTGCACCAAGCAAATAACTCTGAATGACATGTCGCCCTCATCCTGGACGGCCGGAGGAGCAAGGAAGGGCTCGAAATGCAGCGTGTCCGGTGGCTGCGCTAGAGCGGCTAGGTCGTCGGGGATTACAGGTAGCAGGATGTAGCACCGGTACAGGGGATCGCAGACAGCCAGATCCCTGGCCGATTCGAGGCAGCTGAATCTGCCCCCTCTGGGACGCGGGAGAGGAGGACGCGGCCGTCCCGCAAATCACGCCTACACCAGCGCTTGGCGGAGGGGAGGAAGGAGCACGAGAAGTCGGCAGCGTGAAATCCGGCCAAAGTGCTCGCGGCGGCGGCGGAGGGGTGCGGCGGCTGGGCCAGTTGCAGCATCAGCTGGTTCCGGCTGCTTCGGGCAGAAAGTATGCCCAGGAGAGGCAGAAGGTGGCTGGCACGAAAGCGATGGAGGAAGACGTGATCCGTGACGATGCGGCGGATGGAGACGCAGGCAAGGTCAGCGACCGCGGGGATGCGGAGGAGGATTTCCTCGAGAAGCTCCAATGGTAGGGTGAGCAGCGTCGTTGGCGGGGCTTCAGGACGGTGAGGTGCCGAACTGTCGAAGACGACACTACAACGACGAATGGACGAAGTCAAATCAATCATGCCGTTTGATATAGAATCCCAAAGGGTCTCATCGGTCGCTTCCGTGCCGTTTAGATTGGGATGGTGGTCACCCACAGCGTGTTTGGTTGGGCGTAATCAAAGGTAGGGAATGGGAATTGAAGGGGTATGAGACTTCAAATCTGTTGTTTGATTCGAGGGATTGAAAATTCACAAGGGAAGAGGCATGAAACTTAAGACTCCAACTTCCACTGTTTTATTAAAAGGGGAGGGGTGGGAGTTGAAGAGAATTGTTTAAATGAATCAATCTTAACCGTTCATCTAACTTCCCTTGTCTAGTCCCATGTCAATTCTCACGAATCAAACAAGGGAGTACAATTTCTTCTCAAATTCTCACGCATAACTCCTATCACGCACCAAATAGAGGATTGTGAATAAGACGATTTATCTCATGTCTAATATCGAACCAACTCCCTACTCTGATCTCGTACTTCACCCCAAGCGTAAGGCCAACTCAGCCAACTCCAACGCCGACACTCAAACTTCCTGCAACCCTCCAGACCGCGTTGTTCGGATCACGGAAGCACATCCACCGTGGTCATGTATTGGTTCGCGGCATGGTCCGGATGCGTTTTCTCCCATAAACTGGAGACAAACATGGGGAAGGTTTATGGAAGTCCGGGACGATCCCAAGCCTGCTTCTGACCGCACTAGCCCACCAACCCCCCTTCCCCGTGCTTCTCGCCCGAAACGGTCAGCTCCGGTCCAGAGCGTCAGTGCACGCATTCATGTCGGACCAGAGTGGATGCGACTGCTCACTGACGCTGGCATTGAAGTGGCGCGCCAGCTGACAGAACACCGCCTGTGCCGCTTCCCACTTCAAGCGACTGCTCCGTGTTCAATAGACACGACGGCTGCCCGTCCATCCATCTGCCGCCCACATTGATGGCATGCGGTTGTCGAGGTGTCTCCTCGACACCACCTGTCCATTCCTCTGACGCCTGCCATTGCTATATAAATCGCCGACCTTGCCATAGACGCAGTCATCCACCTCTGATCCCTCTCCAAGCCACTCCCACCATGGATTTCTCCCCGCCAAAGCTCTCTAGGACGGACTGACACTGGACTAGAAGAAGGAGATGGCCGCCATTGTCGTTGGCTGGCTAGCCGACAGGCAGCCGGAGGACGACGACGTCCCAATGGAGGATGCGGACGCCGCCGCCGCCACCATCCTCCTCCTCCGCGCCACCCTGGCCAGTGTACTGCACCTTGACCATGGGCGAGGCCCATGCCCATTACGTGGACATGGTGCGGGAGGAGCAGTTCCAAGAAGCGCAGGCCAATGCCGCCTACAACCACCACCTCCTCCAAGAGCACCTGCAGGCGGAGGAGCAGCTCGTGCAGCAGGGCGGTCACGCTAGACGGGGAGATGGCGGAGCAGTAGGTGTTGTCCATATCATACCGCACCGCCCGCGAGATATGTCACGCCCGCTGATGGTACCGCCAACGGGTGGCGGAGGTGGCAGGCGCCGGTAAGGAGTGCGAGGACGATGGGACGAGCCAGTGTTCAGTGAGACCGACGAAGAGGAGGATGCCGCCAAGACCGCGCCCCGCCACGATGACCACGAAGCCTACACGTCCCTGAGCGCTGCTCGGCCTAGCAATAGGGATTACCCAAGCGAGTATTAGACTCCCATCCCCGTCCCCGCATCAGTCTTTTCATGCCCGTCCCCATCCCCATACCCGTCTGCGGGGATAAAAAATATTCCCATCCCCATCCCCGTCGGGGTTTTAATCCCCATGGGAAAACCCACACATGCAATCAATGACAACCTTCGATAGCATTTCAGTAGAAAAAAATAGCATTTCAGCACAATAAATAATATATTGTGGCTAGGCGAGGGTTTTCTTAGGGCGTTTTGGCCAAAGGGATGGGATGGAAAGAAATTTGGGTGGGTAAGGGCGACAATTACATGGGGTCTACTAATTTTAGAGCCCACATGTAAGGCCTTAATGGGTAAGGCGGGTAACGGACACGGGTAATTGTATCCCATCCCCATCCCCGTCTTGCGTGCTGGGTAAGGTATTTGACCCACCAGCTTCCCCTTGGGCATTAAAGCTGGCACATTCCCGTCCCTTGATAGAGTAATTACCCATGGGGACATGGGTAATGGTTAACCATTGCCAGCTTGAGGTGCCGCCGGCAACGAGGAAGAGTAGTGCACTGTAGGTCACCATCGCTTGGGTCCTAGGAAGGCCACCGCTTTTTCCCTCCCGTTGAAGCCAAACTTGGTGGGCTGAACATCATTGGCCGCAGCTTGGCGGGAGGCGGACATCTTCGCTTCCCGTGGCTCTGGAGGAGGAGGAGGTTATGTAGGCAGAGCTGGAGAGCACCGGGACGGAGCTGGATAAGGCGAAGCTTCGGGTCTCTTGGTTCATGGCCAGACATGGGGAACGGGCGTCGTCGACCATTTAGATTTGATAATTATACCTAGTCAGACGAACTCCGCTTATAATTGATGTAAAATTGTAATGAAATACGCCATGTTTATATGAAATCTGGCCATGTTTATATGAAATTGTTTTTGGTCAAATTTCATCTGGTTGGTTTGAGTTGTTGTCAAAATATATGCGGCTAGCATTGGATGTCGTCCTCCCGCATCCATGTCCGCATACTGGTCCTCCCTGTCCGTGGACGGATGCGGGAGGAAATTTATGGGTTGCCGTTGGAGATGCCCAAAGTGAAGGAAATATGCCCTAGAGGCAATAATAAAGTTTTTTATTTATATTTCCTTATATCATGATAAATGTTTATTATTCATGCTAGAATTGTATTAACCGGAAACTTAGTACATGTGTGAATACATAGACAAAACAGAGTGTCCCTAGTATGCCTCTACTTGACTAGCTCGTTAATGAAAGATGGTTAAGTTTCCTGACCATAGACATGTGTTTTCATTTGATGAACATGATCACATCATTAGACAATGATGTGATGGACAAGACCCATTCGTTAGCTTAGCATAATGACCGTTAAGTTTTATTGGTATTGCTTTCTTCATGACTTATACACATTCCTCTGACTATGAGATTATGCAACTCCCGAATACCGGAGGAACACCTTGTGTGCTATCAAACGTCAGAACGTAACTGGGTGATTATAAAGATGCTCTACAGGTGTCTCCGAAGGTGTTTGTTGGGTTGGCATAGATCAAGATTAGGATTTGTCACTCTGTGTATCAGAGAGGTATCTCTGGGCCCTCTCGGTAATGCACATCACTATAAGCCTTGCAAACAATGTGACTAATGAGTTAGTTACGTGATGGTGCATTACGTAACGAGTAAAGAGACTTGCCGGTAACGAGATTGAACTAGGTATGATGATACCGACGATCGAATCTCGGGCAAGTAACATACCGATGACAAAGGGAATAACGTATGTTGTTATGCGGTTTGACCGATAAAGATCTTCGTAGAATACGTAGGAGCCAATATGAGCATCCAGGTTCCGCTATTGGTTATTGACCGGAGATGTGTCTCGGTCATGTCTACATAGTTCTCGAACCCGTAGGGTCCGCACGCTTAACGTTCGATGATGATTTGTCTTATGAGTTATGTGATTTGATGACCGAAGTTTGTTCGGAGACATGGATGAGATCACGGACATGACGAGGAGTCTCGAAATGGTTGAGAGGTAAAGATTCATATATTGGAAGGCTATATTCGGACAACGGAATGGTTCTGAGTGATTCGGGTATTTTTTGGAGTACCGGTGAGTTACGGGAATTCGCCGGGGGAAATTAATGGGCCTTATTGGGCTTTAGTGGAGAGAGGAAAGAAGGGCCACGAGGTGGCGCATGCCTCCCCCCTGCTCAAACCGAATTGGACAAAGGGTGGGGGCGCCCCCCCTTTCCTTCTCCCTCTCCCTCCTTTCCTTCTTTCCGACTCCGAAAAGGAAAGGGACTCCTACTAGGACTTGGGAATCCTAGTAGTACTCCCTACACTTGGAGCGCCCCTAGGAGGTCCGGCCTCTCTCCCTCCCTCCTTTATATACATGGGCAGGGGGGCAACCCAAAGGTACTCCAGATTTGTCTTAGCCCTGTGCGGTGCCCCCTCCACAGTTACACACCTTGGTCATATCGTCATAGTTCTTAGGCGAAGCCCTGCGCTGGTAACTTCATCATCACCACGCCGT